ACTACTACTACTACTCCTCCTACTCAGGCTGCGACTGTACTTGTAACATTGAATATAATTACACGAGTGCCTGAACTGGGGTCACAATGCTACGTATACCATCCTTATATCTCCACTATGCAACAACCTGAAACCTGAACATTCTCATATGGGCACGAGGAAAATGAGGCTCCAATCGAACTGTCTTACAGGTACGGTCCCCTTAGTATAACATCAAGCCCAGATCCTTTTGAACATCCCAAACCCTAAATCATTCAACCCCACACCCAAGAAGTGCTTTCGGCAACTCTTGCTGCCTCTGTCTCTTTGGCCTCAACCAACGACCCAGGAAATCCTGAAAGCAAGCAGAAAGATTCAGAAGTTACAGGGCTTGGGTTGAGGATTTTTGCGCTAAAGAAATTATAAGGTCCAGGGTCTAGGCTTTTGGAAATCCAGGGATGAGGCCCTAAAGCTTAAACTCTAAACCGTAAGTTTGAGGTTCCAGGGCTCCGAGGTTGGGTTTCTAGCTCTTCCTGCAGTAGAATCACCCCAGGCAACAACCTCCCAAGCTGTGTTTTAGTGTTTTTGTTTCGTGTCTTGGAATCTTGGCCTTTGCGAGCTTCTGGGTGCTTCGTTGCAGTTTGGGATGCTACTAGGGTGTGGGGTTTAGAATAATATATATCATCGCAACCGCTACTACTTATACTTCTAGCACTGCCGCTTCCACTACTGTGCTGCTACTGCTGCTAAAGCTACTGCTGCTGCTGCTGATCCTCCTCCCTAGCTGCTCCCAGTACGGCCGCTACATATATATATATATATAAGACCTAGACGATCATGATTTGACATGATTCTCATGGTCATCTAATACTACTACTGCTGCTGCTCTTGCGACTTAATCTAGACTTGCCATGATATGAATATTATATGATATAAATATTTTTGTAGAGTAGGGTTTCTCGCCACCAGCACGACCGCGACGATGGCTACTACTACAAAACACTGTGCTATTTCTCATGCTGACTCATGCTCTCTCTCACTCGATCTATTATGTCGTCATGCATGCATGTGTATACACGTATCTGTCACAAACTACAGCAAAATATTATAGCAGATAAAATTAATATTCCTCGCTCCACTCTAATGATAACAGGACGAGTCCGGCTTCCTTATGGAGGATGACCTGCCGTCGGTGAACGGGCCGACCAACGATCTCCTGAGCCATCCTGCCTCTTCAGAAGGGCACGAGAATGTGGTATCGGGCCAGGCTGCCTCGTTTAAGAGCCTTGTTAAATTAATATAGCCCCGAATCTGCTCCACATGTTATCTCGTGTGAGGCCTGGGTTTCTAAATTATACGTGCAGCTGTATGGGCTAAGGATGGTGTTCCCAACGCTGGCCCAGAATGCATCCCCGGTATCTATTTTGGCAAGTTTCGTGNNCCGATGAAGTTCTGGACCGGCTGTGCATCCTTGGGTTTCTACAGTCTTTGCTTAATTTGAAGCACCGTCAATATCACGCCTAGAGGCCCCTAAAAAGAGTATGCCAGGGTGACGACGACTTGGTTTGGGGTTTAGGGCTTAGGGTTTAGGGTGACCAATCATGCGCACTCGAACAAGGTGGTACGTGTGTTCACGACTCTAGGCCCTATAGGACATGTTCGATCTGCTACAGCTAACGACTACAGCCGCAGCCCGAAATCCTCAATCCCCCAGGAATCTCAAGCAATCCCACTGATGGTAGGAAAAGCTGCAGCAGCTTGGCAACGACCGAGCCACAGCGATACCCAACTGCACTTAACCATTCGAGACGTCCCTTCCTAGACCTCAATCGCACCGCTCTTTCAAAGATTGCCTCTCAGGCTTCATGATCAAATCAAGAACATGGTGGACGAGCTGAAGCAGATCTACAAAGCCCTGACCCAGAAGCAAGCGGAGAGTGTCGTGGGAACTCCTGACAAGCCCTCCCCTAAGATTTCTTGTGTACACGCACACACACAACCGAGTGACAACCTCATGGTAGTCGAGCAGATCATATATGTTATGTTCTAGTATCACCTGATTCCCCTCCCTAGGACCTTCAACGATGAGCTTCTTCGAATCTACGCAGACATCACGAAAAAGGATGTCCTCTTGAACAATTTCATCCTACGTGCCAGGTGCTTCGATTGCACTAATGATAAGCCTCCAACCTGACTGTTGTAGGGATCCCAATAAGCCCAGTTTCTGGAGCCTAGAAATTCCCGGATAAACCTAAACTCTAAACCTTAAACCCAAAACCCTAAAATATTAAAATACACCATAGCCTTGCTCATGTAATCCCATAATTGAATATGAAAGACTACTCGTCACACGTGAACCCACAGACCAATAATATCGATCAGCCATAAATTGTAAGAATTCTGGATCACCCGACACATATAATCCTGCTTTCGGTCAGACCTGAACCGGATCCATCTCTCTCTCTCTCTCTCTCTCTCTTTCTCTGTCTACCGGGGCTATGGCTCTCTCTCTCTCTCTCTCTCTCTCTCTCTCTCCCTCTCCCTCTCTTCCTCTTAAGATCCGTCCTTCATATCCACCCCCAAGCCCAGACCCTTCTAGACCCTGTAATCCAAGACCCCAAGAGACCGTGCCCTCGATGTAGTTGCAGCAGAGGCCGATGGTGAAGGCCGTGAAGGCGGGGACGAGCAAGAAGGCTCCTGCAGCGAGCAAGGGCAAGGATGCCAAGCAGGACAAAAAACCAAAAAGGAGAAGAAGGACAAAAAGCCTGACAAGGAACCCAAAGCCCCCAAGGCCAAAAAGGCCAAGACTGACGCCTAGGAGACCTAGAGTTGTCTTTCCTAGCTTGCCTTACAGCAGTGGTATGCTTCGTCCAAGATGTGTTGCTACAGGCATGTTTCCATGCACATTGCACCACTGGTTTCAATACTGCCCGGAAGCATTCATGCTGTTGCTGTGCAAGCGACTGGCTGGTCATCTAGATGGCCGTGCTGTTAACTCATCCGCACATATGGTGCGATCCTCGATCTTTCTGCAAGCATGCAACGTGCGAACCTGCCCGGGGAAGAGGCAGCCGAGCCCACGAGAAAAGGAGTACGAGCCAGTAGGTGAATCCCGCCGTCAGTGTGCTGCATCCTTATATGCTCTATATTTTTATGCAATGTATGCCTCAACCGCCCCGCGATTCCCGCAACGCAGGCTACCTATGTGGAAATGAACCGCTTCCTGGCGATGGCAGTTTCTCAGCTAATATGCATGGATCCAACATCCTAATTTCTGAAACCCTCGATCTTTATCCAAACCGGCTCGCTCCTCCAGGTCCAGACGACTGCGACCTCTCTGATTTCGACGATGACCTTGCTGAAGAGCTTTTCTTGGGCTTTGCACAAGGGGAGACTTGGCTGTTGGCTGGGGCGGGATTATGGTGGCTCCTAAAAACCCCTTGTCGAAGGTAGGCCTAGGCTCTTATATTATATTATGATAAACCCTACTGCTAAGACCTGGAACTACATGGGGTGCCAAGTTTGCTTGATCTGTCCAAACCATTCAGGCTGACTCTGCTAGACGTGTTGTGCGATTGGCTTGTGTGGCCGATACAAAGCTTCGGAGGTATGGCTGCATGCTACCACACCAGCAACTTTTGTGTTGGGGATCTAATTATGAGCCCGTGAGGCTAATCTTAATTTTGGGGTCCCATAACTCCAGTGTTCGTTGTACTATGAATGAAAGGTAATATATATACTAATGTGTATACTGGATCCTGGGTTTTAGGGGATCTAGTTAATTTAAACCTATATGCTGATATGGGCAATGGGAGTGCACTAAATCCTGCAGGTATTGATGATCGAGAGCTGAGGGAGCTGGCCAAATGTGGCCAGAGCAAAAAGAACGAATGCCGTGCCCTACATCGGCTCATCCACCGCACTGGCCGGACACTACCGGTCAGAATTTCAGAAGTACAAACCCCTGTTAGGATTCCTGGGCAGCGTCGAACAACAAAGGTCAATTTTCCAGTCCTATATCCTACGTCCTGGGCTCGGCAGATTCTCTCTGACGGGGGAAAACTACTTTTGGCGGGGTTCTCCATCGAGCAAGAAGAGCAGTATCGAGACACATTTAGAACATTCTGGAGCAGGTTCTACAACTTTAGGCCTGACTTGGACCTCTACCAGCAAAGCAGCTTTGATGCATCAACTTGCATACCGGTAGCACTTCACGGTGATGAAGGCCGTGGGAAGCTTCGTCGAGCTATCATGATACTATCACTGCAGCCGGTAATATCCTACAAGGGCCCAATGTACACCAACATGAGTGGGCCCCATGTCATCAAGCGAACAACAATTGTGTCTAGTTCGATCGATAATCTAGGCCTAGGATTAAACAATTTTTGAGGTTAATCCCATATTAGCCCAATCTCAGTACAATTCCATATCCGATCGAGGCACTCCTTCACATCGCGACTGCTGTTCACGGTCGTCCCTGCGCAGATGTATGCCTCGAATACCATCGACAAGCTCCACGAGGCATTGGTGGCTGATCTGAGATCTGCATACTTTGATGGGATTTCAGACACTTGCCTCAAATTTGGTTCAGCTTGGTACATATTACATGATCGAACTATAGTTGCATGCATGTCTGTGTGCTGGGGTCTATGGATCAGCAAGGTCACCCATGCTGGAAAAACCTATACCTTCCGGCTGATTCCCATCATGATTAAGGGCGACTGGCCGTACTTACGGTCGTCGATGCACCTGATGGCAGGATACAATTGCCGCCGCAAATGCCATTTATGCGAGGGAGAGGTGCATTCTCTATTTATAAAGGCATCTAGTTAGTTGTGGTGTAGGGTTTTAGATTTTGCCTATAAAGCCCTAAATCCTAAACCCTACACCCTAAACCCTAGCTGTGTTCGATAACTTGTATTTATGATCTGGCCAGATATGGAGGATTGGTTTGACTTGACCCCCGGAAGCACAACACGAGCTTTGTCACGTGACGATGTGGTCAGTGAAGCCTGGAAAGAAACACGTTCCCCACTACGGGACCTACCTAGCAGCGATACTGCACGCTTCGTTCAGCCGGACCCGGCTCATGTTTATGCCATCAATGGCTGGGGCACCAGCCTTGTTGCCTCCACAGTCGTACTGATGGCACGAATGAACTGCTGGGGCCAGTCTGGCATGCAAAGGAGTCTCAACGATGCCTTCATCCGATACAAACAGTGGTGTGCCCAGCATCACAAGACCACAAGCCTCACCGAATTTTCGAAAAAAACATTTAAGATGAAGGAGTGTCCTGCTTGCAAACAGCCATACAGCTAAAGATCTTTTAATTTTACCTTCATGATCTATAATGTATACCCAAACCCCTAAATAAATCCTGAAGCCCGCAATTGTTGCTTGGCATTAAATTCACATAACCTTGAAGGCTGCAGCTGAAATACTATCCTGGTGGATGCGGGAAAGGTCATGACACAGCTGTACTGGGATCATGGCTCCATGATGAATTGCAGATGTATGATGAATCCACGATTGCTCCATGCTGAAAATTAATCAAAGCCACTCCCAGCCTAGTTTCCGGATTTTACAACACTAGCCCTGGGTATAGATCTTCGGCAAAACCCTTTTTGCTGGCAAGGAGCCGTACTTCAGGCCCGTCTTCAAGCTGCTTCGCTGGACGTTCGCAGCGGTCAATGCTTATTGGAGAGGCTTATATGCGCACGGTGTATGGATGCATTGTACGCACGCCCCGCCTTTGATTGAAGCCGGCTTCAACATGGTGGCCCCTTTGTTTGCACGTGTCGAATCAATGCTTCGATCTTTCGATTAATGCAGTATACATGTAGCTGGTAGATTAAGGATGGATATGGTCAGCTCTCTGCATACACGGCCGACATGGGCCTTGCAGCCTTTCGTGTGCGCCCGAAAGCGCATCTTCAAATCCATGTGACGTGCCCAGGCTTATATTCCTATAGCTATAAGGTACCATAAGCACTACCCTAAGCTCCAAACTACAGCTAGCATAGTACTATGCCTCGATCGATTAATTTCGCACACCCTGCCTTCTCAGGCTAAACATGAAGCACCAAGTAGATCACGGTGCCGAGTGGATATTCAATCCACTGAGCTACTTACTTGCACGTATGCCTGTGGTGCATATTACATCGTGTGTGCCTGCAAGCAGTGTCGCATGAGCATCCAAGGTGCCGCCTGTTGGACTGATGAAGATTTTGTTGGTAGATGTGCTCGTTTGTCAAGACGGACCCATAGCAAAACCACGCCCCATCGTACTTTGTCCATGGCCTTACTACAGTATGGCCGAATTCGGAAGACATTGGGCTAAGCTGCAATGTTGCAGATGGACCGAGTTGGAGATGCCCAGCCCGCGACAAAGATGAATCCGATGTTTGTGCAAGCAGGCTGTATCGTGCACTTTCTCTGTATGGGCAAGATCTGTCGTGCACTTTTTGTTCTAATCGAGCGTTTCTCTTTTCTTGCTGATAAGGCAGGCATAATTCGTACACCCCGAAAACCCCGTACGGAAATAAGTGTTACAAAGGAGGCTCCAGGTATATATATATATATGTATATATATATATACATATACATCTATTGTGTGTGTGTGTGCGTGTGTGTCTGCGTTTCTATATTCAAAATGTTCATGAACCCTAAGGGGCCCTACTCTTTACTCCGGCTCATATACTAGATCCTAAGCCATGATGCCTGACCCGAACCTTACAACCGATGTGGCTGGGCTTCACGGGAATCCGGGTCTGCTGCTAACATGTTCAGCATTAGGGTTGGGGTGGAAATCCTTGGGGCTCCGACGCTGTTCCAGTTGAACCAATGCCGAAGGCAACACCGAGTCACGGACCCAAGCTAGCAAGAACTGATGCAAGACCTGAGCAGGCGAGCCCTACGGGCAGTCGGCCAGCATCTTCATCTGCTGCACCACCACCACAACCAGAGCAAGAACGCAGTGTGGAAACCGATTGGGTGAAAGTTCCTCTACCTCACGGCATCGTCGAGTACACCTACGACTTCACCAAGGAGGATTTGAGGCACTGCAAGGGGAAGATCGTTCACACGTTTGACCATCCCGACAACTACCCCTTTGCATACGACGAAACTCCGAAGTACAAGCCAAATGAGGAAGAAGGAACCCTACCTATCGAGCACTACGTCAGGAGAGTGGTTACGTACCTGGGACGTTTGCAGGGTTTTGGGTTTTGGGTGGTTTAGGAAGTTTTGGGTTTCGGGGAATCGGGGTTAGGGGTCTAGGGTATAGGGTTCAGGGTTTTGGGTTTAGGGAGGTTTGGGTTTAGGGGCTTTGGGGCTGCTTTTTGCCTTCGATGTTCAGGGCTTCCGATCTGGGATGCAGGTCTTGGGTGTGTTGCTAAAATGTTCACTCGGTTGCTGCATGCATCCTGCCTGGTGTCAGTCCGGAAGGTTTGTGTGCGCTGTTTGTCCGTTCATGGTTCAGGTCACTTTTTTGATTTTTGATGTGGTCTGAAAAGTGTCGATGCATGCCTTTGCAGATCCTGGGATGTCACATGGCAGCACACATTTCGCCATTTCGCAGTGGAACGGGTAAGTTATTGTTGCAGCTGCAAGGTCATACTCGCAATCGCGGCACTACCTATAGTCTCCATTGTAGTTCCTTTTTGGGGTTACCGTTTAGGATCCTATTAATATAGAACTGGTTAAACCCAAAAAAGGAACTACAATGAAGACTATAGGTACTGCTTGAACCACATAAACCCTGGCTTCCAAACCCGCAACCCTCAGCCCTAAACCCCAAACGAGCCAAGCGAGTGCTTGTGTCAGCATACGGGTAGTTTTCTAAATTAGGGGCCCCCTTCTTGGTCCCCAATATAGTACGACACCCTTATAAAAGGACACTAAAAAGGGACTCCTAGTTTAGAGAACTACCCATCCTTAAACCCTAAACCCTAAACCTTAAAGAATATACTGCCTAGGGTTTATAAAAGGACACTTAAAAAAAGGGACCCTACTTTAGAAAACCACTCAATACGCTTCGACAGTTTGCTTGGGGCGCCTCTCAGCCTCTTCCCTCGTCATGCCCCTATAGCTACCCTGTAGGGTTCCTTTAACGGATCCTTTAAGGATCTAGGGTTTTAGGGTTTAGGGTTTTACAAGGGTCCAGGGTTTAAGGGTCTGTACCCAAATAGTATATATTTTTGGCCCCAAAGTAGGTATATAGGGACTTCTTTAAGGCCAAAGTATATACTGTTTGGGTACATGGACCTTCAAGCCCTAAATCCTAAACCCATAAACCCAGATAGTGCCCTCAAGGAACCCTTAGAAAAGAACCCTTAAAACAGAACCCCTAAAGCCTTAAAGGAACCCTTAAGGAGGAACCCTTCAAGGAGCCCCCAAAGGGCACCCTTAAAGGAACCCTTCGGGCTACAAGGGACCCTGGGGTTCCTTCTTCTTGTCCTCCCTCATAAACCGAGATAGTGCCCTAAAAGGAGCCCTTAAAGGAACCCTTAAAAAGGAACCCTTAAAAAGGAACCCTTAAAGGAGCCCTTAGGGCTACATCGACCCTAAACCAAGAACTCTGAACCCATGAAAGCCGGAATCTTGAGTCCTCAAAAAGTCCTAAAACCGTGGCATAGGGGCCTTAGGGTTTTAGGGTATGGGGTTTAGGGTTTAGGGTTTGGGGTTTAGGGTTTTAGGGCTTAGGGTTTAGGGGCTTAAATACTCTACTTGCAAATGCTATCTTGGGGGGTCCGTGATTCTAGTAATAATGTATGACAATGTATGATATACTCCAAAACCCTATCCTATCTTTTTAAGGCCCCTGGATTACATCCCCAAAGCCCAAATCCAAAGTAGAGCCCTGCGGCAGGGTTTAGGGTTTGGAGTAGAAGCCATAAAGTTGGAAAGGGTTTAGGGTTTGGGGTTTAGGGCTTAGGGTTTAGGGCTTAGGGCTTAGGGTTTAGGGCTTAGGTTTAGGGCTTGGGGGTTTAGGGTTTAGGGTTTAGGATACCCTTACGGGTAAGTATAAGGGATCCTAGCACCAGTCATCCTAGACCCATGTTCCAATTTTCTGGCGTTCCCTGCAAATGGAATACAACGGCCTTAAGGATCGTTATGGTCCATTCAGGTTCCCTCTTATAAGCCAGTAATTGCCCCCCCACCCCCTTCCCAAAGCAACCTCTACTTGTTAAAGGCTGCCATCATCGGGACCACCAGAGACTAGGGTGTTAGGATTTGGGATTGAAGTGTCGTGGATACTGGGCTCTAAGGGTTCTTTGGTGTTTATGGCTTTCGGGGTTCCTTGAGCTTAAATATCCCTAAACCCTAAACCCCAAGCCCTAAACCCCAAACCCTAAACCCCAAGCCCCAAACCCTAAACCCGTACACCC